TATATATATATATATATTTACAAATTGTTAATCGTTATATTTATAATATGACGACTCACATAGAAATGTAGTTGAATAAAAAATTAACATGTGATTCAATTTTTATAAATGTCGTATATTTATTTACAAGTTATGACGATTTATTATGAAGTTTAATATAATATTTTCATAATACATTAGATTAAATTATCAATTTTGTTGTAGGTGTAGGAATAATAAAATAATTAATATAAAATTATTGTAATAATATCTCATCAATTGTAGATAACCATAATCTATAATCTTTTAGTCTCACAATAAAAAATTCTCATTCCACAGGAAATCTTTTTAATATTATATTTAATATAAAAATAAAAATTGTTGTAAGTTAATGAACTTTGTATTTGACGTCTTTATTATTAAAAAGAACTAAATTATAAAATAAAATCGTATATATATTGAATAGAATTGAAAATAGGTAGAATTATCTTTAAAAAATTATATGAACGAACATGTTTGAGATAAATCCTAAATAATATAGCAACCTATCTTGGCTGGAAATTATATTGGATCTCGCTAAAAAATTATAATGTATATATTGTGTTTGATCTATTGTAAATTTCTTTAAAACTGAATAGTTAATTAGTTTCAGATGATGTCAATGAAAATTATTAAAATCTTTTTTTAAAATTTTTTTTAAATGTTTCTTTTAATTAATAAATTATATTCATAAAGAATATCTACATAATTTTTATAAATTTCTACATGATTACATTAATTATATAGAAAACAATAGATTAGAAATAATGACATAATTTATATTTGCTATCAGGTTAACATTGAGGTATTTAAACGTGTTTACCATGTGCGGTTTGTAATGATATGACACAAATTTGTCAATTTGCATGTATATTGGTAGTTAAAGGGTTAAAAAGCTGAGCTAATCCAATATTGTTGACGTCATAAGGACACTCAACTGGATGTGATTAAACCCTAATAGTTTCGGACCTTTGAAATGAGCGATACAACCTAATATTCATCGTGATGGTATTTTCCACGTAGATAATTTTATAATTAAATTGCAAACGATAATAATTGTATTATAGAGACTAAACGTACATTTCATAAATATCAATGGAAATTGTGTTTTCTTATGGTTTTTTTTTTTTAATTAATTAATAATTGTATTTATAAGTTATAATTTGTAATAAAATTTCTAAAATAAAAATAATAAATTGTGATTCTAATTAAATATGTTTAAATAAAATAAATTGTCAAACAGATTATGTTATTTTAAAATAAAATAAAAAAAAAAAAAACCGTAGTTTTAAAATATAAGCAAATACAGTCGTATATTTAAAAATATTAAAATGAAAGATTCAAACTCATAATTTTTAAATGTATTCAAGAAACTAACTGAAATTATCAAACGAATAACAACTAAAAAAAAAAAAATTCATATTTTGCTTTTATTATGTAAATGCCTATAAATAAATATTATTTTTATTTTCGTGAAATTGAATTATATTTATATTTTAATAATTCTTATATCAAAATATTTTAAAGTATATTTCACTAATTTAGGTTTAATTTTTAATGTTAGTTATGAAACTAATTTCGACTAACAATAATAATATATTTCATACATTTTTAAGGCATATATACATTTCGAGCTTTTTCATTTTTTTTTTTTTAAATTTTTATTATATTCGATGATACTATCTGTAGATAATTTTAGTCTAATTTATAGTTATCAAACTCAAATTGATATGAATTTGTTAAAAAGTGCACATAAAATAATTTTATAAATCTTTTAGATTGTCTAGTATAATCTATAGTTTACTGGTTATCCATCTCAGGGGGGGGATGTATATCAAAGGATGACATGAACCTAGTGAAAGAGTGACGTGAAATTCTGGGAAATAAAGGGGAACGACCTAATTTTTACCATGGTAGAATTTATATAGATATTTTAATAAATACAGTTATTAAAAGTTTTCGTCTATCACGATTGTCAGTTGTACTTGTATAAGTCATGTGAAAAAGTTAACAATAAACAACAAAATGTATCAGACTCAAATCCAAATTTGAATGCACTTGGTTTAAATTATTAAGTTTATGTTTGGGAGATACTAAAAATACGGTATCACATTAAGGTTCGTAATACTTCATTTAAATGAACGGGAAGACAAATGCATGGAATTCAAGACAGTTACGCCACACAATTGCCTACACACTACGCCGTCATTCTTTAAACTGATTGAAATTTAGTAAATCACAAACGTTTTCAATTTAAAACAGTATAATATATTATTGTGTTCACAAAACCAGAAAAAAATCTCTTTTGATTGAAATTATAATTGTATACAAATGAAAATTTAAAATTAAGATTATCAGACGTAATTTATAAATTGAAGAATAGTGTAGATAATAATAATATTATACACAATTTCTCTTTACTTGCGCTAACGAAAAATGAATATGATCGTTGTACTATAAATTTTTTTAACGATGTTTCCCAAACTGAAGGAAAGAGGGGCGTAAACACATTGCTGGGACGAGCAAGTAGTCAAAATAAAGATTTTTTTTAAATTTTTCATAAAAAAAGGAAAAATGAATAGTTTAGAAAACAATTTCCTTTATATTATCATCCAATAAATTTTAATATCAAAAAAAAAAGAAAAGTTCTTCACCTTTATCAATTTTACCTATTAAAACCAAAAAATTAAATCATATATTTTTTGTAAATTTTAATAAATGTTGAGGATTGTGTGAGTTTTTTTTTTTTTTTATTTACAAGGAGGGGAATGAACAATTAATAATAAATAATACATTTTTGAACGAAGTTCGACGCACAAGGATAGGAGCTCAGATATTGTATCAAAGCGGAAAAATGGAGCCTGGAACCAACAATCACAAACAAAGTTTGCCAAAAAAAACTGAAACCGGATCTAACGCATGACAGACGGAACTCCGTCGAATTTACGAATTCTAGGGCTGATCACTCAGAATCGTCAACTACCAAGGTAGGGATAAAGCCATACCCTACAACGTAGTCATGGGTAGTATTTCGGTTGGAGTGGAGCCGATTGGCAATAAAGGACTATTCAGGAAAATCCTTCCTAAAGGTCAACCAGAGTGGTAAACCTATAACCACAAGAGGCTGACGTACACCATGCTAGGTCAGTCCGAGAAGCTGCCATTTTGAACCTAATGCGTCCAACTAAAGACTATGAACTGGATGGTGGCAAAAATTCGCACGGCCGAGTGAGTGCCGACTCCAAAAAAATCAAGTGTTAAAATCCATGGCACGGGACCTCGGAGATGCCACACTTTCCTTAAATATACGGTGCTATGAGTCTGGAGCATACCTCGGACCAAAGCCATATTTAGAAATAATTTTCGGGGGGGGGGGGGGGGTCCAAAATATGTTTATTGTAATTTTACTGAATTTAGGTTTTAAAATTTGGTAAAAAATAAGACCAAAAAAGTTTTGATCTTCTTTAAAATATATAATTAAATAAACAAAATAACATAAAAATAACATACACAAATTTAATATATTTTAAACTAATGAAATGCTTCTATCTCTTTTAAGAGCCAACTGATTTATTTATTATTAATTTTGGTTGTTATTAATTGATAATTTTATTTTTTTTTTCATCATTCACGGATATGAATAATTATTTTGATTTAATGAATATTTCTTTGAAAGTGTCATCAATATATTTTTCGCATATCTTTCACTTCATTTAAAACAGTTTTAACATGTTCTACTGTTTCAATTAAATCGCATTTCACTGACTGCAACACCTTACATAATGGCAAAGTTATAGAGAAAAGTGTTGTCACAGACTGTAATCATACTTATAAATAATAAATCTACTAGTTTTTACACATTTATAGAACTGTAAAGCTTTAAATGATGTTTCAATGTCTACAAATAATTAGTAGTTCTTCCAATGTTGCTACAATAGGTTTATATATCTGAAAATCTAAATATATCAACGTAATTTTCAACCCACCTAGTCTCACACATGGAAGTTAATTTAGTCCATTTAGTTTGAGATAGAAATTCTTTTATTTTATTTTTTAACAGTTTACTTCACTTAGCCAACATTTTAATAAAATGTCCCACAGATTTTATTATTCCTATATAATTACGAATATGGTGAATGTTTGATGAAGCAGTTAATTTAACTGAAGTTTAAGCCATTTATAACATAAAATATTTATGTTGGTATTAAAAATAAATAGCTATTTTAAACATTTGTACAATACTGAAATCATTTCAGAGGAGGGGGTCCGGACCCCTTGGACATTAGACGTGTGCTTCTGTCATCCATCATCAAAATCACCTCGTAACCATCCAACTAGTTTCACTCATACAAGCATAAACAAAACCCTAGAAATAAACAAACAAGTGGGTATTCAAAATTTCACTATCATAGCAAATATTAACTAAATTCTATATAAAAAAACTCAATAAAAAAAATGTAGTGGATTTTCGTTGTGGATAATTATCTATAACCATGATATAAGAAAGGTGGTGAGTTTGCATGCAAATTTTACGGAGTGGGCACATATTTGATGCGTAACTGATGTACTTACTTATTCTGAAATCTGAAAGTCATAGCGAACCAACCGTTCGGACCGAGGATTTTCCAGTTGAATTGCTCGAAATAAAAAAAAAAAAATCTACGGAATAAAGTCGAAATGCTCCAACACGGGTTGATCTAAATTGTAAATAATAATTGCCAATTGTTTTTTTTATTCGAAGTTCACGGGAGAGCATTTGAATAAAAATCGTATCCGGTTACGTAATTGTTTTAGGATAATATTTGTTTAGTTTTTCCATTTTCTTCGATAATGTATTTTGGAAACTTTCCGAATCTTATTCTCACCGTTGCTGTTTCGTAGCGGTGCTGTAGGTCAGGAACGACTGCGATGGTTGTTAGCGGCGGTGGCGTTTTAACGTGCCGGACGTGCAACCGAGTCTCCCGCCAGTAGTAATGTGGCGACCGGCCGGATCACATGCCACGCGGATAGCGTGCTGCTTCCTCGTCAACCTCCTTCTGCGGTCCGATGTTCTCGCGATCGACTCAACAGGTACGTCTACTGTGTTTTACCGTATTTTGTTTCCTGGAGTACCATGCTCCCGAGAACACTTTTTCCGTCTCGTGTATACTGCTGTTTGTTATTTATCAACGCGGAGCTCGTAAGAAAATTTTCTTTAGGCTTTGCCGTAAAATAAAAAAATAAAAATATTAACAAATCTTCCGGCCCGATTTGAGAAACTGTGATAAGAGCTCGATCGGTTGTGCATGTCAAAGTTCTTATGAATAAATATTTTTTTTTTCTCCACAGCCAGTAATATTATGCAGTATCACGATTCGAATAAATATTAGTTCCGTGAATATCCTGATTGATCGTTTTGTTATTTTCACTGTTAAACGTGTGTATTATAATAACAATGGATTTCACTACGAATGTAATTTTTTAACAACACACGTGCTTCGTGCGGTTTTTAGTTTTTGTAAATACAAATCGTTGCAGGGAACAGAATATAATTTTAGAGTTGTGATTTATCATCCTTGTTTACATATTCTTTATTGATTTATTTACTATACGTGTAATGATTTATTAAATCTAGAAAATAATTAAAAACCATGTCCAAAAAAAAAAAAAAAAAATAACATATTTATATTACTAAATAGATCAGAATCTAAAAGAACATTAAAATAATAATGTATTTTTTAAACAAATTTATTGACTTAAATAAATTTAATGACTTGAAACGTTATCGCACTGATTCATACTTGAAATTTTACTAATACAAAAATGATTTAGGTGGTAAACAAAACATATGTTTTCTGATATCAGTAAAAAATATTTTGATTTCAAGCAGTCATTCTTATAATACATACATGGAATGTATCACATTTGAATATATTACGCCAGTGACGAACGCAGGGAGGGGTTTTGGGGGTTCAATCCCCTCCCGAAATGAATGGATTATTAATTTTAAACGTTGTTATCCTACCTTATGTACTTTTAAAAAAAATGAATTGTTCAAAATACGATTAAAATATGCTAGAAAAAAAATTTTTGTTAAGAAAAGTGAATTTGTAATTATTTGTAATTTTTCAATCGTTCTAAAAGATATTGGTACTTAAAACTCAAATTTTTGAAATTCCACTATGGCAATACTTCGTAAAAATAATACGTGTTTGTAAGTCACTTATTATCAGAAAGTAAAAATAAGTAAATATACGTAATCGATATAATATTATTTACAATGGTACATTATGATTAACGGGTTTCCCTAAATTTTGTGTTGTATGGGGGAGAGGGGGGCTAATAAAATAATATCCTCAGGGGCGTCAAATTTTTAAATACGGGTCTGACGGTAATTTTCTTATTTTTTCAACACCTCCCCCCCAAAATTTTATTCTGCGTCTACCCCTGTATCACGCTGTTTGCTTTCGTTTTTAGTACGAATTTGAATAATTGTAAAATTTAACGAGTTGTACGAACTATTGTAAATCCTTCAGTGACTTTATAAGAGTATCGTGCTTAAAATTTTGAAAACTCGTATATATAATAAAATAAACTTAAGATCAACTCGATGTGTTTCGATATTCATTTTTTTATTTATTTTTGATATTATTCTTTCAACCTGTTTTTATTGTGTATAGGTATATTCTAATATCAGTTAAATAACTTTACTACGATTTTGAAATATGAACACTGATATTATTTTGGGGGAGTGCTATTAACAATTTTGTAATTGATTTATGTATTCATTTTTATATATATATATATGTTTTTTTTTTTTTTTGATTAAAATACGTAAATTTAGAAAGTATAGTAATGCAATGATACTTGTATGTTTGTTTTTTAGTAAATTGAAATGTGTAAAATACATTAAGAATATGTCAATATCTATTTGGTTAAATATCATTGCCATAATAATCATAAAATATAATTTTTATAAATTATTTTTTTGTATTATCCATTCATTGTGTTTCAAATTAATTGTAATGAAAACAATTTTATAAATTATTGGTTTACATAAATATATAAATTCTTAGAATTCCTGTCTTTCACATATTCTGTAATCTAAAATACTTATTAAACTATAATTACATTTCTTTTATAATTTAAGAAATAAATGAAAATATACTTTTTGGGATAAAAAGTTATTTATAAGTTGGAATGTTACAAAATTAAACGGAAATATAATACAACTAATACTGTTATGACATCAGTAAGTTTATAGGAGTTGCAACGAATTGTATTGGTTTGAATTTTTAATGATTTAAGATAAAGGTTTATATTATTATTAGATGCAATAATTTAAATAACTAATAATTTAATATTCTTTAATAATTTTGTTTGTTTTTTTTTAGCTGATGGAAGTAGGTTTATCATTTTATTTATTACTTTTAACCATCATATTTGGTAATTTAAAAAGAATAATAATTACATTTTGCGACAACTAGAGTAATTATTAATATTATTAAAAAAAAGTTTAATTTTACTATAGCTGGAAAACTTGCCACCATTAACAAGGATTTTTAGTTAATGTAATTAATTACACTTAATTTCTTAATCGTAAATGCTTGAACTAATGTACATTAATATTTTTTTTTAGTTAATATTTTAATTACAATTAAATTAACAATTTTACATACCAATGGAAAAGTATATATTAATTAAAAATGTTATGACTGATAATTGTATAAAATTACTCTGATCTTAATGATAATTATTCAAAAGAATAATATTTTTTTTTGTATGAAAAAAGTTGTATGAGGGATGAGGATAAAAGGCTACAATTTATGAATATTTTTCAGAAGATCGGAAGTCAACTTGGATACTTTGACCAAATATATTTCATTATTTGACCATAAATCCCACTAAACTTCTTGAAAGTGAATTACGATCGTTCACGGGGCATCACTTTGAAAGAAAAGAATGACCGGTTTTCTTAGTTACTATGTACTTATTCATGAATATAGAGTTTGTTTATACAGTCACCCTTGTACTAGGATAACACAATTTATCCTAACATCAGGATGTTTTGGACCATATAGTTTAAATACTAACAAAAAAAAAAAAAACGATATTCAAACGTAATTGAAAGAGAATGATATAGTATGTGTTTCAGAAATGGATAGTAAAGTATGGATCTTGGATACACTACTCAAAGAGTTTTTGAATCAGTCTGATTAAAATAAATAAAAATGTGACAAACAGTTATTTAAAATTTTGAAAAGAAAATTATATTATTTTTACTATTTGTACGTTTCATGATCGTTTCAAAAAAAAAAAAAAAAAAATACGTGATAACTTCAACACAAAGAAACAACTCTTTTTTTATTCTCGATTTTATCGAATATTTTGGTATGTCATATTGATGTAAAATTGTATTGTTTTGATACACTAGAGGAATAGTTCAAGTAAAATAATAATTGGTATAGTGAAAATTTGATATCGAAAATAAGAAAGAAATAGAGAGTATTTTAAAGTTATCTCTGAAATATTAAAAAAAAAAAAACATAATTATTTAGTATACAGTACTAAAATTATCATGGTTATTATTAACCATAATATTATTATGGTTATTAATTATCTAGGTTGATATCCTGTTATCATAATTAAGCTGATTATGATTGGACGATAGGATTCATTAATAAGTAACATCGATATAAAAATATTAATATTTTTATTACAGAACCATTACAACATATTTTTAATATCTTTTATAATATTATATTCATGGTTGTATTATTAATTACACTACTTACAAAATGATCCTAAGCAAGTATTAATAAAATAAATAAACACTATATTAAAATAGAAGTAACCATGAGTCAAATCATAAATAGTCGCATTTAAATAGTTGAGGTCTGTAATTAGAATATATAAATATTTTGACCTTGTAATTAATAAAAAATTAAATAACGATTTTAATTTGGTAAAAAAAATAATTTTATTCAAGATATTATGATAAAATAATTAAATAATTTAATACTGAGAAAATAATAATATTAATAATATTAATATAAATTTGTTTGTTGTGTACCTAATAAAATGATTGTCATTAATTATAAAATAAAATAATTAAATAAGATTAGTATCAGTTTTTTCTTCTTTATAAGACTTGTGGGATGATTTTTATTTATTAATTTTTTTTAAATAACTTTTTGATTATTTAGCTGATTTGTTTTTCAAAGAAGTGAATAATTGTGTTTCTATATAATGCCTTAACCAACCAATGAGGAGAGAATATTTTGTTTATTTTAGGTTTGTCATTTTTAATTAAATCGCATGATTAATCATATTGTACACTTTTTTATAGATAATGTTTAAAATTTGAAAAAAGTATAAAATTTGTAGATTATTATTTCTCTTTACGGACAGTGAATAACTCTAACATTAATTGGGTTTCAGTTCAATTTTATTTCAAAGCATGCATTTGATAAGTTTTTTCATAAACAGCTTAGTGTCGTATAAAAATATATTTTTAAGTAAAAGAAATTAATATCATATTAGAAGAAAATTTAAATATTTTAGTCACCTTAATGACTAACATTATTATAGCTACGGATCATTACAGTGTTGTCCACGAACATACTGTTGTATAACTGCTAATAACCGATCTACCATCTTTTAGGTTTAATGATGTAATATCGTTAACTAAACGGTAATGGCTCATATTTTGATTTATTACATTTTCAGGACAATTAAAATACTTAATATCTTAAATAAAAGATATAAAGTATTTTAAATAATATTGTTCCTATTAAAATAACCAAAAAAACGTTTCTATTTTCTCTTTTATTTAAAATACACTAATTATGAATTATTATTGAAATCAAATATAACAACTATCTATTTTTAAAAATAATTAAAATTAATTAACTACTAATATTTATAATTTAATAATAATTTTATTGTAATACACAAGGAAATAGAAACGTGTTTTTGGTTATTTTAATAGGAACAATATTATTTTTGTGAACGTAAGATAAGGATACAATTTATTTAAAAAACGATAAAAATTTCACAATCAATAAAAAATTATAATATGATGAAAAAGT